CACCAGCGAGCCGGCGCTGAAATTCTGGAAAAGTCGCGTTACCTCAAGATCACGGCAAAGCTCAGTTGGGTCGAACTCCGTTATTTCTCGGCAAGCGAATTGCTTTCAATCGACATGTCAAGTGTCGCAGTCGATGAGCTGCCCTGGCTCATTAAACCTCGGGCAGGTTTTCATGTGCGAGTTCCGACTGGTGACAATGTCGAGGTATATGCAAGTATGCTGCCATGCTGGGACTCGGAACCAGACCTTTCCCTTGATTTGCCACGAGTCCCCTGTGCGTTGATCCCTAAGGATGACGAAGCTCAACACATCACTGTCATCATGCTTCAACAACACAGCACTCATTACGAGCGGATAGGGTCTTTCAACTACCTATACACGTATGCGGGCAGAACTAACTTCTTCTTCAAGGACGATAATGGAGCTCTTACAGTGGAGAGAGTACATGAGAGAACCCGCTCCTATAGTGTTGAGGAGGTTGCAAGAGACTTCAATAATCAAGAGATGCAAACGTTCCTACTCGGCTAGCTTGAGCGCGCGTGAGATGGTTTATACCGATGTAAGCTTGATAGAAAATCATGGCGTCGACACATCAATTCTACGATGAAGCTCTCGGCGACGAAATGAGATCATAATAATAATCCGCGATTATAGATACAATTTTAGCGCGGCTGTATGCGCCAAAGTCCTACGTACACCCATTACAATAACATAAACCCGCCGCACCACACGCCCAAAGATTGACGAAGAAACATGGCATCTAGATCATGAGAGTATCACCACCCAACCGCTCAAATAATCCCCTCAGCATCCCACACCCTCCACCTAACAGCCCACTCCTTCACCGCCTCAAAATCCCTACAAACCCTCTCCGTCCCCCACCCCTTCGTCGCAACCCCCAACACCCCATCTTCACCAACCTCTTCCTTCGTGTCTTCCAGATTGGTATCTGCAGCGCAAATAAGGGCCTGGCGCAGGTACTCGAAGCAGTGCTGGATATGATCGGGATCGTCGTGTTCTTCGCCGGAGCTGAGGAGGGCTTCTAGGAAGGGGTTCGGTGTGAATGTGGGAGTGGAGTGGTGCTCGTGACTGCTGGTGGTGGTTTCGATTTTTATGTGAGGCGGGCTTAGTGGTGAGCGTTGGGATTCGTGGTGTTGGTGTTTGGAGAGGAGGTAGGATTTTTTGTAGTAGGTTTGTCGGAGACCGTGCTGGACGGAGTTAGCGAGGTGATTCCGCCGCAGTAGTAGAGGGAGAGGTAGCTTACTAGACAATGCAGCTCATGGAACACAGACATGGATTTAATCTCTTTCGCTATCTTGGGATGTTGGACGAACGCTCGTCCTTTCGGTATCAGGCTTTGCCACATCTTCTCCGTCTCGGCGTTTGGTTCACCGGCGAAACTCTCATTGAGTGACCAGACGACCTTTTCGATCCTGCGGTGTGGACTGCCATATGGCGCTGGTGATTGGTCAGAATTGCAACAAATTCCGAGCCAAAAGACCAGCCTGGGGGACAAGGAATCGATAGGGAACTGGGGTGAGCTTACTAAGGTATCCATCGATATCATGTTCCATACCGAGCAGTCTGCTGAAGCCGAGGCCGATTAAAAGGCCTAGAAATGCGACAAAGATGTACCCACATGCGTGCATGAGACACGAACGAAGCGACCGACGAGGTCCTTTACCGAGCAAGAGCTCTTTGTCGGCATCGCATTCTTCTCCTCGAAGAGTAGAACTTGGAGAGATGCATGCGTCGCTTTCGCCATCGGTGGCGCCATGAGACAAACGGTGATACGACGAACTCTTCTTTGCAAAGGGATTGAGATTCGGCATTACGGCAACTTGCCAATACTCTTGACATGCAGTGTGGAGCAGACAAGAATTCTTCGGAGAATTCACTCGATATTTACATATCAGACGAATAGATTAATTGTATTCGTGATGTTGGGGAATGTATTCAGACCCTAAACGGGTAAGCCCTGGGACGCGGGAAGGATCAGCTTAGACTGGGCGACCGGTGGAGAAAGCAGTAAAGACAACTTGATTTGGTACATGATTAAGCGCTAGACCATTAATTCTCCGCGCTGGGCGCCATGACGCTGCCGTCACCAAGGGGTATCATACAATTTCTCGCCATTCGTAGGGACGTCTGGAACTCAACGCCACCGTACCAGCCATGTCCAAGGCCTAGACCACCAACTGTCGGATCGTCGTGAGTCGTAGAGGTCGGATCTGCGGATACGAGGCTAATTCAGCTTCTTGTTGCCGACCGTAACCTGTTTGCCCTGGCTGCGCTGGTATTTGAGGAAGCCGAAGACTGCGGCGGCGACGACGCCCAGCATAAGGACGTTGCCTATAGTGTTGTTAGTTTCCAGGATCGATCGAGCGCGCGAGTCAATTGTCGTCAGCCAACTTACCGAGTACGAAGCTAACGATACCGCCAGCAAGGTCCACGAGACCACGGAAGAAGTTAACCACGAGGTCGATCATCTCCAACACGAAGTTGAGAGCGAACTGGACCGTCTTCTGGACTAGCGCGCCGGCTGTGGTGATGAAGGACCAGACGAGCTCGACCATGGACGAGACGAGATCGCTGAGGGCATTGACGATGGAAGACATGTTGGTTCGGTTGGGCTTGTGAGTAATGGCGGGCGAGTGGTGTGGTATTACAGTTCTGAGGTGGAGTAGTTGATGGGAATAGTGGGGTGGTGGAGTGTAAGAGAGAAGGCTGTATCTGCCAGATATGCAGTACTTGTTACCGTGCGACAGTGCGACAAGGCGCGACTTCCGTTAAGACAGTTGCTTGCTGCCAAAACACGGGGATGACGCGGGGCCTACGTTAACACAGGCAGCACTTCCTGTTTCACATAGCTGCTGCCGTGGATGTGTAGGCCTGCATCCTGCCCGCTTTCCATGGGGAGCCTGGTTGGCTATTCGGGTGAATAGCCGTTGTTGTGGTGAGATGTGACGTCACGGGTGTAACGTGGGTGAACGCCTGTTTGTAGGCAACGACAGGGGAGCATGACGAATCAGATAATGACAGAGAAGGAACGACCATGATTGGAGGAAGGAGAGAAACAAGGAGTCGAAGAAATGATGGAGGCACGGTTAAGCGTGGAGAGGTTGGTACATTGCGAGGAAGATCCATGCCTTGGCTAGTCGCGATGGTCTAGAACACGTGCCTAACAATCTCTTGAGGTAAGGCTACCTGGCCTTGTAGAAGAAGGTTGTTGCGACGAGGCTGTTCATATTGATATCCGTGTTGTTGTTGGAGAGTTCGTCGGTGCTTTTGGGGAGGTGCAGCCCTGCTTGCGTCATGGCGGCTCGGCTCAGAGCGGAACCTTCGTCCCACCGTGACTCCCTTCGTATCACGGCATCGCGACACAATGTCAGGCACACTCGACAAGCTCCTAGCAAAGGGCAAGGCGAAGCTCTCAGAGTTCACTGGGCAGCCTTCCGGGGGCCATCACCAGCAAGGCCACCCGAACCAAGGCTATCCGGGCCAACAGGGCTATCCGGGCCAGCAGCCTCCCCCGGGCTACCAACAACCCGCTCCAGGCTATCAGCAGCCACCCCAGGGCTACCAGCAGCCACCCCAAGGCTATCCCGCGCCAAACGCCGGGCAGTACTCTGGCAGCCAGTATCCTCCGCAATTCCCTCCCCAAAACCAGCAATGGGGGCAGCCGAATCAACAGCAGAACCAATGGGGCGCACCCCCTCAGCAGCAATGGGGCCCGCCGCCTCCGCAACAGCAGCCCCTCGCACCGCCCGTCCCCCAGGGTAGCAAGCCCCAATCTCCAGCACCTGGCGGCCCCCCGCCTATTCCTCAGAACCGACCGAACTCTGCGCAGCCTCCGCCGCCCCAGAACCTCCCTCCACCACAGGGCCAGAGCGTGTACTGGAAGCCGTCCTTCGACATCAAGACACCCGTGTCGCAGAACTTCCGGCACGAGATCGGCGACCATGGCTGGGGCAACAACGAGAAGCAGATGTATACGGACAAACCCGAGAACTCGTTCCATCACGACAACCGCCTGATCGTGCGCGCCCTCGTACAGAACGGCAGCTACACTTCTGCGCGTTTGACCTCACACCAGACGCTGTCGCGGCCGCGCGGATACTTGACAGCGACCTGTCTACCTCCGTCTGCACCAGGCATATGGCCTGCCTACTGGATGCTACCCGCAGACCCGTTCAAATGGCCGACTGACGGCGAGGTCGACCTTGCCGAGAGCTGGAACGGCGAGACAGAGAACCACTCGTGTCTACATTGGGGCTCCTATACCGGCGAGGATGCACAGAAGCATCGCGTCGTCAAGACGTCTCTTCCAGACCTGGCACGGCAACCGCATACCTATGGCTTCGCTTGGATCGAAGAAGAGGGTATCCCCGGATGGAGAGGGCGCATGATCTGGTACATCGACAACTACCCAGTCATGAAAGGCTGCATTCCAGAGGGCACACGACGTATGGAAGACTTCAGAATCCTCATCAACATCGCCATGGGCGGGACTGTGAACCAGGGCAAGCTGCCTGCTGAAGGTTATTACGACTTCGTCATTAGCGATCTCAAGATGTGCGAGGAACCCCATGGCGGCTGGCAACAATTCGAACATGCGTGGAACAGCACGCCTGAAGGCAAGGCAATGTAGCAAGGCTTGGTAGCAGCTACCTAGTATATCACGTTTGGGTCTCTGCCCAATATCACTCCGTTCACTGTGCCCTTTCTATCCTTTCACCTTCCCGAATTTGTCCGCCTGTGCACAAGTCAGGATCATAGATCAGCTCGTCGAGGAAAGGCTTAGTCGAGCCTGACAAGTGTTTTAGAGAGGGAAGGAAGCGCTCTTGCAGTTTGTCAAGCATTGACAAACTACCACTTCCACGAGTATAACTGCAGGCCGGGTTCAGCACAGTAACCCGCAGCTCTACCACCTGATTATAAACTCGAAAGCCATTTAAGAAGCAGCTCTACTACAGTGTTCAGCAAGCATGACGACCGACATGGACATGGCTTCAATGACTACTTCTCGCTCAAGGACCAGCTTCATGGACCTGCCTGGTGGTAAGCAACATTTACCTTATTGCTCTATCAATTCGCGCTAATTTGACTGAAGAGCTACGGAACATTGTCTACCTGCACAGCAAGAACGAAGGCATCGTAGACATGGGACGTCCCCAAGGCAGCCACCCTGGCCCACGGATCGATCGCAACCGCCATCAATTCTTAGGCCTTACTCAGGTCTCGAGGACGCTTCGAAGCGAGTTTGGGGCTTTGTACCGCGAACAACTTCAACTCCGGGTGGACGCACGACACATCCACGAATACCTCGCAATGGTCATCCAGGCATACAGCCGAGTGGAGGGAGGCGTTAAGACTCGTATATGCCCAATCTTTGCCAATATCATTCTTGATCTTGGCCCCAGAGTCAATGATCGAAACGAATACTATCTGGATATCCTCCCGCTGCTGCAGATACGCTCCAAGAAACCATCCTTCATATGCGAGTTCGAATTCTCCACAGAGGTTGACATTACTCACGTTCCAACCGACCCTAGTCAACCCTGCAGCCAGTTTGTATCAGAGGTGTACGGCTCGTTGCTTGTACAAGATCTAAACAATATTCTCAGTGGGCCAAACACATTAGCAACGGTCCGACCCGGAAACAATAACGTGGATGCCGCTATCCTTTATCTCAAAACCCTGGGTGTGCGAGACGGCAGATTCACTGGGGGCCCTTATCCAGTAGTCTCAACGCCATTTCTCGACCTCTGGCTTACGGCAGACCCTCCGTGGGGCTCTAAGCGCGACTCTATAATTCGCTCGGTGGGCCTCGAATCGATGGATTTTCTCGAGAATGCTGGCATGGCCTATGTCCGTATACTGGACGTCCGGACGAATTGCTGCAAGCCGGAGGATTGGTATGGATGGCTGCATCCTGGAGCGCCCAGATGAGGCATCCAGCGCTAGATCCGTGCTAGCCGAATGGACACTAGCGTCCCTTTACTCCTTCTTGTTGACTATTTGTGTTTGCTTTATCACTCTGTAACCTCACCTCCTAACCCAGATAAACTGTGTACTAAACGCTGTAATCGTCTTTCGCATTTGCCGTCGAGACCAAATTTGTTCGCTTGTTTGAACGTCATCACAATGTCCACGTTAACGTTTCTATCTCTGCCCGGCGAGATTCGCAACCGCATCTACGAATACTGCGTCGAACCAAAACCTCGGCAACTTTCTCGCATGCCTAAGCGTCCAAAGAAGCATTACAGAAATACCCGCTACGGACTGTACGGCAGCCTCCGCAACGTGTGCAAGCAAACGCGTGCAGAATTCGGGCCAATGTACATGGCCGAAACTGTCCATGTTGTCCATCAAGTCACGGCGAATAGTTTTCTCTACTCGTTGTATCCCGAATTGAGGCAGCAAGATGAACTTGCGAGCGAGCAACTCCAGTCAGGCTGCCAGACTGACAAGCATCATGCGTCAACTAGCGTCTCTGGCCTACAAGGCAACATCCAAATCATCACGTACTTCGGCCTCGAATACGACGCGACACCACTCATGCATCTTTGCGCAAAGAATCCCGCTTTTAAAGTCAGCTTCACAGACGCCAGCGCGTGCCTCCGTCTCGGCTGCCTCGTCAACGACTTCTTCGCTACTATCTCGTCCGGCGCTTTTCGTCCGCACCTGAAGCGTATCCAAAGGATTGCAATCACGTGCAGCACTCGGCCTGAAATCACCCTCATCCTCCCGTGCTCGGTGGGAGATGATCTTATGGCACTTTCCGGTGACCCACGGCAGGCATTGAATGAGATGGGTGCACCGCCTATGGACGCGTTTGCTGTCGTTCTCAAGGACGGCACTGGTAGGCTGTACGAGCACTCCGCACCGCGGGCTTGATCCAGACCTTATCTTGCGACTAGCGCTTTCGTGTTGACATCCAACGATATTTGGGTCGCATATAGGTAGACATTCTGGGTCGTGTTTCCTGCGAGGGCCCATAATTTCGAAGGAGCCAATTTCGTAGAAGAACGCAGCACTTCCCAAACAGTCAAGCGCGGCTGCTCGTTGATTACGTATTTCACGTGAAGGTGAAGCCCCGCACCCGTGGACCCCACAGTACATGCAGGTACCCGATAACACGCACTACCTTATTGCTTGGCAGCCGTACCATGGTTCACCTGGTCAGGCGCTTCCCTCTATTCTCACTTCACCACAGACTCTTCTCACTCACAACACGAGCTCGTAGATGGATCACATATACCTGTACATTTGCCCTTACATTCAGCAATCCATGACTAACTTTGACAGCAGCAACTCAGAAATCGACGAGGGGTATCCGCTCATGGCCTCCGTAGAAGCGCAGATGCGGGGTGTTACCATGAGCGCACCAAACAGTCGCTTTTTGAACCTTCCAGGTGGTGCGTACGTCCTCTCAACTACCCAGAGCGTAGCTAACTCAGTGCCTACAGAACTACGCAATAAGATATACAGCTTCTGCATCGATACAGACCCCGTCCCACTACGTCTCCGTCACGACGATCCGATCAAACCGGTAGGAGGATGGCGTTGCTTTACACAGACGTGTCGGCAGATCCGGAAAGAGTTCCACATCATCTACATGACTGAGACTGTGTTTCGCCTAGAATCCACTTACCACTACGCCCGATACATCCGCGATTTCTATCCGCCCAGCGACGAGGCCACAATGCTGCGCTACCGCGGCCACGTCATCAGTGTAGTTGGACATAGCCGCGATGAGGATACGGATGTGGACGAGTTCTACGATGCCGACATCGCCCGCGTCGTCTCGCTTGTCGCGCGCTCACCAAAAGTTTGCTTTACCTTTGAACTTGAGAAGGATCTGAAGAAATATTTCGCAGCAATAAAGGGCATCGAACAGGTGAACAGCATGATCGCGTTATTCGCTGATCAATCCCACTCAAAATGGCGCGAAATGGCCAGGTCGATCAAAGAGATGAGACTCAGGGTTCGCATTAATCACTGTTTACTCCGAATTACCATGGACCAAGACATGGCTAAGATATGGAAGGCTGCGGTTCATGAAGTGTGGAACGAAGCAGCTCAGCCCACGCGTGGCATACGTGAATTGCGGCTCGCATGGCCTGACCCGAACCCACAGGAGCGTTCATATGGGTATCGGCACCAGTTTTCATTCAGCGACGATGAAGATAAGACTAAAAGTTGTATTTGGCGATGGTGAGTAGTATGCAAAGGGGATAGGGGATGGATGAGACTCAAATGCTAGCTTTGGTTGATGGCTGAGACATGCGCCGAGGCAGCCTGGTGACGTCTTTGGGATCTATGACAAGATGTCTTTGATTATTATCCAGTGTTTCATCTTTCACTATGCAATGGGCTATACTACGACGTCCTGTGTGGCCTCAGGTCGGGTGCGTCGACAAGGAAGTAGACGCACTCGATGCCATGGCCTTGCAAGATAGGTAGCGCTTAACAATACAATTCTACACTCCCGATCTCATGTCCATCTCGACAGATACTTCGTCGGCCGAAGTGGCCAAACATTCTTACAATGCCCCTCTATCGAAGCATGAACATCCAGTCCCTTTCTCTTCGTCCAGCCCACACTCTCGGCAAATTTGTCAACAAAACCCTCATCGTGAACCATCACTTCGGGAATAATAACCTCACTCGTTAGTCGCTCAGGTGTCTTCCCACTTTTGAACACAACCACAACCCTCACTATAGCAACGCCGTAGTCGAGACTCCCTCTGCCAGCATGTATCACAACTTCCGCGACGTCTCCACTTCCGATACAAGCCACCCAACGTGCGTCGTCAAAGCCCAGTATAGCATCGAGCTGCACCTTCATCGTCGTCGGCTGCTTCAGATAGCTATGACAGGGCCTAAACGATATCGACGCTCTTCCAGTGGGGTGGCTACAATGCCGAATCCGCAGCAAGGGTAGTACATCGAGTCTAAGTCGCTCAACCAACGGATCTTCGATAACCAGATCAATGCGTCTAGGCACGTGTTCTAGGGGTCTCGAAGGCCCGTAGACGAAGTCAACGTAGCGGAGCCAGGGCTTGATGCTGATGGTTAGCTCCTGTTGGCGGAGAGCTAATGGACGGTATTCTCTGCGCATTTGCCGGCATACTTGACTTGGTTTCATCATGCGGAACCAGGCGGATGTGCTGTGGTTCCATGAGCTGTAGAGGACGGGGGATTTGAAGAGTTCGATGGGGCGGTGTTGGGATAGTAGCACGTATTTGTAGATGTGGTTGCGGAGTTCTAGGGTGGGTTAGGTGGGGGTACGCGTGTGTTGTTGGAGTGGACATACCAGCGGGTAACAGTAGAAGTGGTGAGGTGATGGTTACTGGCTCTCTTGATGTCGGTGCGATCTTGGGTATATTGCGGCGCTTCTTCATCTTCGCAAAGACGTGTAACAGCTGGTTGTAAGTACTTCTTGGCGACGGATGATTGAAGTCGACGGTGTCGGGGATTGAATGGTTCATGGAGTGGTCTCTTGAAGTCATATTTCATCAGTGTAGACACCAAATTCTACACAGCGCGCTGAGGCAGGACTGTGACTCTTCGTAGTTCGTATCCATGATGGGTGTCACACTGGCACGAGGCGCACCTGGGCAATTGTGGGGCCAAAGTAAGCGCTGGTCCAATCGAGCGAAGATGCAGGCGCATGGTTAAGCGAAGATCCTGCTTCTCATACACGACTCTGAGGTCATTTAGTTATTTCTATCTCGATTGAATGCGAACGGTGGTGAATGCAAACGCGTTTGTAGGCTACCAAGGTAGATGACGTCACTGCAAACGCGAGACCCTAGGCATGTTTACGGCACGTATTTCGCATCCGTACAAAATCAACAACAACACCACCCGTGCAGCGTCCACAACGTCACTATGGATCGCTACACGCCCGAGCTCTCGATGCTTCGCCTGAAGCGACGCCGAGACGACGACGTCCTGTCCAGCAGTCGCCTTCCGCGAGCGAAGAAGGTCGCGTATACTCCAACAGGTATTTTCGACTTTATGCGTCTCTCAGCAGGTCAGTACACATAGTGAAATATCGCAAAGTGGAAGACAGACTGACATCTATACAGAGCTCCGCAATCAAATCTACGAGTATGCTGTCGCAGAGGTACCCTCTCATCTACTCACACCAGTCCATGGACCTCGCGATCACGGCGCCGCAGGCATCGCGTTGACACAAGTCTCCCGCCAAGTAACTTATCATGTGAAATGGATACGAGACATGTACTGATCTAGCATATCCACGTGTTAGGTACGTTCCGAGTACCGACCAATGTGGCTTGAACGCGCCAAGTTCGTCATCGATTGGCACTCTGTCCACGCATTCCTCGAGAGCTTCTACCCGAACGAAGAAGAGTATGGAAGCGGTCCCAAGGAGCTTATCATTCAGTACGAGACGGCTTTCGACTGCACGCTCGATCGACCAACGGAAATCATCCATCTAGTGCGATTAGGCTTGGCCTTCAAGGGACTGGAAGTACGCATCATCCATTTCGAGGATTGTGCTCCCGCTGGAGTGTCCATCACCAAGCTGGTACAGTATGGTGGTTGTACACGTCTCGGAACTGAAGACACTGCGCTAGTCAAGGAAGCGAAGCGGAAGTGGCGCGTTGCTGTACAGGAGTACGAGGTGAAGAGTGTAGTTATCACTATGCAATCTCCGGATGAAGCCGTGGATGTTCGTGTTAAGTTCAGCGAGCAGCTCGCCTCAACGACGGGTACTACCGGACTTGACGGCCTATGGGACGAGATAGTGGTATGAAAGGCTCTCCACCAGCACGCCGGCCTAGAAAAAACTGAACAGCCTGGAGCCTACATTAACGTTAGGTCACCTACTTTGCAAGGTTTTAGCTTAATGTAGCCTGCAAACCTGTTCAGCTATTTCTTGTATGAGGTGCCAGTATGATGCAGGCGGGAGATAGTGTGAAACAGCACATGAAAAGCGTTGGATAGAAGTAGGATGTAGCCGGGAAGTTGACATTGCCTTTGGGTTTTGTTGACTTTGATCTGTAGACTAATGTAGCCTGGGTGCACCTGTGCAATTCGCTTTTCGTAGGAGGTGCACGCGTGGCAGGTGGGGCCGCGGGCAATGCACGTTTTGGGTTAGCGTGGGATTGGATGCCTGATTGCACATGAAATCTCCAGACACGCCGGTACGCTCGCCGCCTCCTACACGCTCCGCGTCGATGAAGGTTTCGAATACTTGATAGCGACACCTTCGGCATCTCATAGATCAGGTTATCGTCCTATGCCAGCGCTGTTGGCGACGCGCTTGCAGCCATGCGACTCCACGATGCTCCAATCACCTCGGGGCCAACTAATGGACACCACTTCCGCTTCTTAGACCTCGCTGCAGGTATGTTCTGAGCACTTTCTTATCTGATGAAATAGGTTCACTAACTTCAGACCTCAGAACTTCGGAACCGCATCTATGAATACGCGGCCGAGGCACCATCGCGCATCATCATGCTCAAGCCTGGCAACCCACCCACCATCAGTCTCACACAAGTCTGTCGACAAATTAGAGATGAGTTCAGGAAGATCTACATGCAAAACGCTTCCTTCACAGTCAGAGACAAAGACATCAAGAGGTTCACGAACGCGTTCTTTGCGCCGGGCCATACGAACCAGTGGGTACTCGATGGGCAACGCCCCTCCCGCGTCATTTACCGCTATCCGCGATCCACGAATGTGGACATACTACCTCTCCTGGAAATTAAGATGTCGTCCCCGCAAACCGAGGTCAGCGTCATCCCCGGTCCTGCAGATACCGAAGAGCAATTCTATTCCCAGGATAACTGTGAGCTCATAACGGACATCCTGGAAAATACGTCGCCTGCATTGAGACACGATATCCAAGCATCCAAAATCTCTGAATTCTGCTGTCATCACGATGGCAGGTTCTACTTGTGGTACAAGCCGGGGCATACACCCCACGGTGTCGATATGACCTTGGACCGGGAAGGGCAAGCTTTCACGGATCAGATAAGACGGCTCTTCAACAGGCCAACTTTTGAAGATTGGTCTGGGGTTTATCGTGACGTTGCGTTTGAAGGTATTGATGTGCGTAATGTCAACAATTCGAGTCGGGCGGAAGATGTAGAGAAAGAATAGAGTCAGAGAGTGATCAGATTGGGCGTCGATATCTCACGCTAGCTTGCGGTCACATATTGTAGCATCATCGTCAAAGACCTTTACAGACTTTGGGTACTTGTATATATGATACTCAAAGCATACAGATTACGTAGCTTGCGGCTTGCTTCGCAAATCCTGTATTTGGGCGTATTTCACTCTTAATCACGTGGAGGCACGTGGCTGTGGATCGCATTAGGCGACTACCTAGTTCGCGCAACGCTAACAAGGGCCACTCCTTCGTTGTGCCTTCACATCTAATCCACTGCATCATTCCTCTACCACGCTCCCCGCCATACACCCTCGGCACTGCTTCAGTCCCCTCCCAGAATGGCCCACGACCCTGTCAGCAGGCGCGACCGCGGAGATCACTTTCGGTTCCTGGATCTACCAGCAGGTAGGCGCAACCCTCTCCAGGCAAGATTTTAGGGCTGACATGTGTGTAATAGAGTTGCGCAATCGTATCTACGACTTCGCCGTTGAGACCGAAGCGAACCGCCCTCGCTGCGTACTGCCATGTCTTGCGCTTGCGCAGAGCTGTCAACAGCTGCGCACCGAGTATCGATCTATCTGCCTGAAGCGAGACATCATTATCGACTGGAAGGCGGTTACCGGTTACATGCGCACTTTCTTTCCGATCGAAAACGGTAAAATCGACAACGTTGAGCTTGCACCAGCAAGCATGACCATAGTCACTCCTTGGCGCGGAGATGCAGAAGGAGAAGACCATTATGGGCTTGATATGCTATCGCTCGTCAAAATTGGCCTCTGTCGACCAGACTTCACCTGTCACCTCGTCCACGATACGGCTAAGCTGCAGCTTCACGACGAGCACGAAGAGAAACATCGAGAGGGATATAACTTCAGGGGCTGGATCGATGAAGACGCAACAGCCGTAGAGAGGATGATGTTTAATCGGCATCCACGGTGGCTATCCGATATAGAGACCGGTAGTATCACCAGAATCATGGTTTCGAATATCGGCGTTAGCACTTCGCCCCAGGCAGCGTTCTACCTTAAATCTCGGCAGTTGGTCGAGGACCTGGACGCTGAGGACGAGGAATTTGAAGGAGGCACATTGGGAGAAGCTTATTTCAACAGAATTGGCGTTGATCCATATTGGGGAGAGTTTCCGGAGTTTCCTGGCCTAAGGATTGAGGTATGAGAGATTTGGAGATGACAGCTTACTGAGGCGGTCTGGTATCGAGTAGGACAAAAATGGTCATCGTCATAGTTACTTCTACGCAGATGTTGGGGTCTTCTGTCCCATAACATCTCAAAGTGTACAAGCTTAGTCTTCCGCACTTTACTCTTGTGCAGTCAAATCACGCACACACCTCGGACAAAGTGGAAGCTGAACAGGGTGACAGGTAGGGTGCGACTTACAGTAATGCAAGAATTTTAGTTTCCTGAACCCCAGAACAGTCTCGAGTGAGAGGTTCTTTGCTTTTACATGTCATTCTCTGCAACACGTACTGACAATGCTTGTCTTCGTCGGCGTGCACACGCCACACGTGAAGAGACTTTCAGTGTCGTTTGCTCTCACCACGGACCACCACGCTGATGACTGCCCCCAACTTGCCGACTCTCTTTCTCTCTAACCCCATAATCCCATCTGCTAGATAAATACCGAACCTACGCAGGACCTTGGATCAATCTTTACAATGTTGTCGCTCATCAACATGAGAACGCGACGCTCACCCCCCGAGCCCTTCCGCTTCCTCGACCTGCCTGCAGGTGAGTTCATTAGATCGCAAAGCCTGTCGCAATCACACTGACGTCATCGCAGAACTCCGCAACTCCGTCTTTGAGTTCTTGACTGCCGAATACGAGGGCTGCGTCCGGCGTTTCGCTCTAAAAACTACATCATCTTCGCTCGGTGCAAGCTCTACTCCCGCTTCAATCTTCTCACTCGCACACGTGTGTCAAAATCTGCGCAAAGAGTTCCTCTCACACCTCTTTGCCACGTTGGAAGTCGGTTTAGACTGGCTGGACGTTGAGTACTTTTGTCACACAGTGTGTTCTACCTTCAATAACGGAGAGTGGCTGTCAACGCGCGCGCCGAAGTCAATCACCGTATACATCGACGGCAACATCTGCAATGATTCCCCCATTTCGAAGTCAAGCTCTAGGAACACTCTCTGGAACAACTCTGAGATCGCTGCTTATAGGGCGGACGTATTGGAAGGCATTGTCCACGTGCCTCGAATGCCACATCCGTCGCTCAACCTCCTTCCACTACTAAAGCTAAGGCTTCTACGAAACGACTACGCCTGCCTGTTCTCGTTGGACCCGAAGGTCGACTGGGACGCTGTCAAAGAGAAGCATAACAGCGGAGATACCTGGAGTGACTGGCTTGTCGGTATAACCGTCCTGGACCTCGCGCAATTCATGGGCCTCGACAATGACGCTTGGGCGCAGTGCATCGGAAAGAAGCTAGACCAGGTCTTGCTCCATCCCTGGGCAGACTGGAAAGATTTACAGATCGAGCTCGTGTTCAAGGAGCAACCAAACAATCTCATGACTTTGAACAATAAGACACGACGATGCTACCTGCCCGACCTGCGGAAGACAGGCTTGCGAGAGTTCTACGTGACAACAGGCCTAACATTCAACATGAGCATGGCCTCTCAATCTCCAAAGCTCGATTGGGAGGGTCGTTCTCGATCACGGTCGGCGTCAAAGGAGCCATTGCGGTACCACCGACCGCCTACGTTTCATTCCCTTCTCTCCCCACCGCCGACCCACCCCCAAACCCAAAAGTAACCTCCCTCCTCAAAACCAACATCTCAAAACTCGTCTTACAACTCCAAGTCCCCGGCCCCCACGTCTTCTTCCTTACCACCTCATACCCTCTCTTACGCCAATACGCGCCGTTGAGGCACTCCGCAGCCAGGATCCAAAGGCTCAACACGTGTTGGCCCTGCAGTCCCTTTTGTTCGAGCTGGATGGTCTCTCTGACTATGAGACACTGCTGTAGGAAGTCGAGAAGCTGGATAGCAAGACCACGGTGGTGGTACTTCGGGTCCCCGTCGACACATACGATTTTGACCTCCCAGCCTGTTTCTGTGTCTGCGCATTCTTTTTCCCAGCCGCCTTTCCAGGGTACGAGAGAGGCGCAGGCGACGACTTTTCTGCTCTCTTCACCACTGATGCCATCGTTCTCGTTCGCGCTCGCCGCGTCGTCGAAGATGCAGGCGATGACGCTGCCCGGCCCACTAAGCAGCGTATGAAGCCCCTCTTCATCGCTGAAGCGCGATTCCGAGTTATCCCATTTCACCGTATCTCGTTCATATGAACGATAGAACGCTTCGTTGACGAGTTGCGTGATGGATTTCGAGAGCGATGGATTGGATCTGAGTTCCGAGGGTGTGAAAAGCGTTGGTGGGGAAAGGTTTGGTGTCATCATGCGGGTGGAATGAACCTTTTGATTGCTTTTGACCGGTTTAGAGATTCAAGCTTTGGTGCAGGGCGCTTTTTCATGATGGGGAACGCCATTGAGTCATTACATGCGATAGGGCGTAGATGTTGAAAGTGTCCCGCGTGGAGATTCAAGGTGGCCGCCTCATCGGAATCGGAATAGCCGGGTCGTTAATTCCGAACAAAAAGTAGCGAGGATGCACCTTCTTCTTTCGGCTAATATGTGATGGGTCTAGAATCTACAATACAACCTCTGTCCCCGCTATATATCTAATGAGTTCTTCTTTTTTCTGACGTCCGATGAGATTTGACGTGAGTGATACCCATGCTGCGGCTGCATGCCGAGGTTGCAGCACCTTGATGTAAGTCGTCATCATCGGAATCTCGTCCCGCGAGGTCACCCAGATCGGTAGAAGCGAGCGCCGCAACATCAGGTCTGTCAGTCGAGAAGAACGGTGGCAGTCTTCACGAAGCTTTGTGAGGGTATAAATATATTGATGCATTTAGAACATGCTTCTATAGTAGCGCCGGAGAGCGGACATGGTATCATAAAGCGACCTTACAGCGACGCCGTAGGCTGTAGGTAAAAGGAAAGACAAGGAAATTTTTGCGCGATCTACGCGATGCTTCATATCGTGCGTGCGCATAGGTCGACATAAGGGCCTGAACATTAGCATGCGCGGCATGCTTCAAGACCACGACTGCCAGCTTGGCTTCTTCTGACTTGAACCGCGTGGGGGGTATGGTGACTGGCGCGCGTTCGGCGGTGGGGGCATTGGTGTGGGACTTCTTTCTCTCCTGGTTTCCTGACTTATTGCGGTACCCGGTAGGGGTGTTATGGGTAAGCTCTTCTGTGTGGGTGAGAGAGGATGCGATGACAGGGGAGCACCGCTGGCTGGCGACTTTGGCGACGCAGGGGACATCGGTAATGGGGGAAGTGCCTCCAAATCGTGCCCTTCGAAGAGATGAGTCGATCGCATGCTGGATGCTCGCGAGTTGTGGCCTGTGGTGTAACGACCCAGCTCGATGTCCTCGTAATCGGGGTCGCAGATCATGTCGGCTGTCATAGTTGACACAGGGCGGTCAATACCAGTGGGTGTCGGCATCGCCGAGCTGGTTGGCGACATGGTCACTTGCACCTCTTTGTGCACATGCACACCTCCATGTGGGTCGACAGTCGTGCCAAGGTGAGAATCGTAATATCCCTTGGTGCTGTTGGCCCAGCTTCCGCCTGTAATGCTGGCACCGAACTTCCTCCACGAGTTCTTCGACTTGGTGTGCGCACTGTCCTGGCGATCATCGGTACCGGCTGGTGTTCTCGTCTTGGATCGCTGACTGAGCTTTTCCTGGAAGAAGTGTTTGAAGAAGACCTTCATGGCGGGAGCGTTGGCGCATAAGCATCCGATGTACAGCTCGAGCATGCAAGTAAGGAACAGATTCCATGTGTGCCATGTCACATCGTAAGTGCCATAGAAGGTATACCAGCTGTAGTAGGCTCGCACAGCTCCCAGTGCGACGACACCGTAACCCATGGCAAATATACCGAACAACGCCAGTTTCTGTCGGATCGGTATCTGAAGATTCCAGTAGAGGAATGTAGGGAGAACGGCAGTCAGGGCGTCCTGGGCGCAGGATATGATGCTGGCGGCGAAGACGTCGGCACCTTCGTCGAAGCAGTGGAACTCGTAACCTTGTAACTTCTTGATGATGTTTACTTGATCCCAGAATGCTGAGATCGGTTGGCAGCCTAAAATAGGTGCCAAGGTTAAGGCAATGGTGTAGGCAATGATGAAGCCGATAGTGGCCCACGTCACCCATACGAATGTCTTCGACACGGCCCGAGCCGAGAGACGGCGGTAGAAGAGAAGAATGGAGACTTTGACGAGGCCAGTTGCAACACAGAAGACACATTCGGTTGCGAGAATGTATTTCCGTGCGTTAACGATGATTTCCGGTTCAAAGAGGTAGTCTAGATCCCAAATATGTCGGTCGAACGCTTGGTTGGTTGCTGAAACGCGTTAGCTAGATAGCAGTGAACTGGTCTGAGATATTACCTAGGGGATATATGACTGTCAAGGCGATCACCGGGGCCTGAGGTCGTTAGCGTAGCGGTGATGAGTGATCATGAGCAACTTACAATGGCAGCGAGCATCAACCAGTCATCCCAACCGGGACATCTTTGATGAAAGATTCTGACCCATAACCGTACAAGAGTCATAACGACGGTAATAGGTCCAAGTACACACGCAATCCAGAGGATGGCGTTTGGTCGTAGTGTAGGGTTGACATAGTTTGGTGTTGGCCAACTCAGTTTGACCTCGATGGGAGGGTTTATGCCACCAGGCATTATGTAGATGATTCGTAAGGTTGTATGGTGCGTGGAACGTTGTCAAAGTTTGAGACAATTGAACAACGGCTTTTCGAGTGAAGGGATGCCTACCATTTGTGCATGGTGGCTTTTTGAAGTACCTAACCTGTTAAATGGGAGAGGAGCATGGGGGCGTAAGACATCCGCCAGGGCTTGTCAAAAGTGGGCCGACCACAAAAAACAATACCAAAAGTCGACCAATACAGCGTTTGGGAACGACGACCGTTGAGTTGCGCATAACGGCAGTCGAGAGCTTGCCCGGCTATGTACCCACCCGCATATACGAGCATCGACGCGGAGATGGGATATACTCCGTATGCGATAGACCGCGTGGTCGTTGTTAGTATACGATGCTGATCGGTGAGAAAAACGAGATCTCTTGCCATAATACTCAACACGATCTCAGCTCCTGGCATTAGTGTGCCCATTATGCGTCAGTGATCTGGATTGGTAGTACAGAGCAGACTTGCTGCAGTGAGTAGCAGTTGCACTTCAGGCCTTGTCACACTCCTGTTTTGAAACCTGGACAGGTCGTTTACGCTGAATTACGTTGCATGCGTGTATACTCATGATCCTGGGATGATCAAGGGACGTTGACGGAATTCTAGTGGCCGGTAGTGGACCCGAGGACTCTGCCCTGCTTGACCACGACAACGTATTGGGTTTGACGAAACGCGAGTCCGACCTTGGGTTTCCTCGCGTACGGGTTGTCAAACATGCGTAACCAACAGGGCTCGAGCCAATCTGCAGCGGTCGGGCGCTCCCGCCACGGTGGTCCCTGTCAACAATGTGTCCGGAGTGGCGCCTTTTCGATCGATACCGTCTGCATCGTACGTGATCGTGTCGGCTATCGAGCTCAATTCTCCCGCAGCCGTGACCGGTGTACGATGAAGTGGTGTCGAGGACCCGTTTGTGACAAGTTTGCGTACGGTGGCAAGTGTATGCAGTCCCCTCCGAATTGGGAACACTAGAAGGATCAGCAGCTTCGCAGCATCTGTAACGATGCGAAATGGATAGGTCCGAGAATTAGTCGCGGAGATGACAGGAGATGTGGTATGCCGTCATTCCCCATGCGCAATGATTCGCCCACGTCCACAATGCAGACATGGTGTGTTCTAAGATTCAAGGCAAGGCAAGAGAATTTGAAGCAAAAAAGTAAAGTCGCATAGGTCTGGAGCTGTCAGGTACCGGTCAGAGTGTGCGTTCGTACCCCTTGCTCGTGTGCATCAAACCTTGGCGTGGTGTGGTGGGGTGCGGGACCGGAAGGTGGGGGCGGGTGGAAGCTGGAGCGAATTTAAAGCGGACGCGAGAAACGCAACAGCGGCCTGGCTACCTATGTAGGATAGAATGCTGCGATGGAGTCGCAGTGATAGTCGCGAGATACCTGTTTCCGCGGCTAAAGCGTGGGCAGTCAGCGCGAAGGGCGTCGAAGAGAAAGACTACGCCCGTAGGACGTAAAAATAGTCGCGGAATCAGGATGGCAGCCTCACCCTAGTACCCAAAACAGCAACGCGCTCTGTCAGCATCTAAGCGACTGAAGCCTCACGATAGTTATTGCATCGTTCTAAATCCTACAACGCCCTTTTATCGGCTCCGCGGGCAGGAACTGATGCAGTTGTGAGTCACTCAGAAGGATGAATGATAAGCGCAGTCTACATGCATCTAGATATAAAGGTCTGGTATCGAAAATGATGTCCGTAAACACCCAAAGCACTACGTACCTTCCAAGTAACCCCGATGACAACCTCTGCCTCGTTCAATGACGCTTTTGAGTCGGCAGTTGCATCCGGCCCTGATCGCCTGCTGCCCGGTGTGGCTCTCGGTGCTGCAAGAGCACTTCGAAAGGGTATGGTCCGGTTTTGCATGCTTTCTTTTGCCAAAACACTTGCCAGGGCCGTTGAGTTTAGCGTGCGTTTGAGAGCGGCACGTTGAGATGGACTGGGAATATGCGACGGAGCCGTCGGATGCTCGCAGCCGT